TATAGAAGAATTTTAACAGAAGCAGGAAAATTACTTTTTCTTACTGTTCTTCTTTCAATTTCTGTATCATAAACGCTATAAATAAGTACAACTGTTCTATGAATATAAATAAGTTCAACTACTATCGTATATTGGAAATTGATAGCTATAACAATTTTAAAATTTCCAACTCGATCCAATTCTATCACAGACAGACCTAAGACTTTGAATTACTATAGTCATGATTTTCCAGAGTTAATAATAATTCCTTCATAATTTTGTCCACGAAAGAGCACATCCCAGATAATTTTACGCGAATATAATAATAAAAAAAAAAAGAAGACGGTCCCTTTTTATCGTTCTAGATGAAATACGAAAGGCGGCAAAAAGAATGAAGAATCGTTGGCTCCCCGCGGAATAGAGTGGCTCGCGTTTTGACTGACGACCATTCACCACGCTCGAATCATCGGGAAATGGCGCGTGTCGCGTACCTTCAAAGACATTCTCTCAGCCGTTTAGTCGTTAGTGGCACTTTACGAGCACCTCTCCTCTCGAGGATCCAAGGATTCTTCGAAGGAATCACAAAGAACGTCAGGTGGCCTGAGATCTTTATTGGAAACACGGCGAGAGGACCAGGGCCGCGTCCATCCAAGGCGAGAACCTTCGTGTAACTTACTGCCAAGGTCGCGCGCTCGAGGAATTTCCTCGAGGCATTCGCTGGAGAATTTTCCAAGGGACGAGGGAAAATTTTTCTTTCTACCTTTTTTCTTTTTCAAATTAACTAGAGAAACCAAACGCTAAAGTGTCGAAAAGATCAATGATTTATTATTGTTTTAAATACTGGATGATTGTAGTATAAAATCAGAGAAGTAGTTAGAGTGTGGAATTTTAATCGAGGAAACGATGAAAATATAATGTTTATGTGCAGGCAGAAGCTGTCAGTCAAATATATTTCACAAAGAAGATATTTGAATGCGTTGCATGTCTGTAAGTCAATTAGTGCAAATCGGTAATTTTTAATATTCTGATTAGTTGCATGTTGACAGAAAGCCACATTCTCTTTTCCTTAATGAAAAAAAAGAAAAAATCTATATCTTCAGTATATTATATTATATATCAAGTATAACTTTCGTCACAAATTTAATTAAACATCTTGAAAAAAGAGGGAAAAAACTTGAGCAGTAGAAGTTTCAGAGATTTTTGAGATATTTCACTTAAAGAATGTCAGGAAATATTTTACTGACATCAAAAATTACATTTATTTACATATGGTGAACGGAGAAGCGAAGACGTTTACAAGATCGTAGAAGTCAGAGTAGTTCATTAAAGTCACAGATCGGTGTTTCACCATCTGCCTTTTAAATTAGTCTGTTTGACTGTTTCCTGCGAGAAATTCTTGATACATATTTACATCCACCCTTCTTTCGGTCATAAATTTTTATCCCGGCGGCGTACATTTCGGGAGCTAGACACGTTTCTACTCCGCGTGTCAACAGGAACAACTTTATGGGACGTTAGTTGTATCGACATTTCCTCTTTGTCTATGTTACATCTACAATTCAATTAAAATCTACCTAAAGATTTACGAATTAAAATGGCGGATTGTTTCAGTTCCAGATTTTTGAATTATAATTAACTTTTAAAGAATTTCATTCTTTTCGTATAATTTCATAACGATTCAACTATTTGATCAGAAAATACATCTAAGTATTAAAATTCAGAGAATTTTTTCTAATGAATTGTACAAGATTTCATTCATGTTCACACGGAACGAATCTAAAATACATGCAATAAAAGAAAAAAATGTAATCTGTAAGGAGGTTCCAAATTTTAAATCTACCCTATCAGAGTACAAACTTATCTTCTTTATAAATCATTAAATCGCAAATTATAAATTATTATAAATGTGGATTGCGAATTGTGCAAATTGTCAAATTCTAAAGATGCCGATCTTCAGATTTCGTCACCGTTCGCGTAGAAACAAAATCATGTTCTTCCTCTTTCTTTCTTTCTTTTTTTCTTTTTTTCCAAAGACAAGATGTGTCGCGTATATTGTGTGACAAACCTGTTAACACGAAACGGCCGCGTAAAGCAAGTAACGAGTAGGCAGTAATCGAGATCCCGTGGACTCTAAGTAAAGTCAAACAGCGGAGCCGGTTGTCTTTGCTCAGTAAACTCGCGCCAGTCCGGAGCCAATATTTAGACAGGGGTCGGGGCTCAAACATCGTAATACGCGTTAAAACGTTATGACACGCGCCAATTGCTGTCTCTATTTTCCACTGGCTTCTGCTGCTTTTCACACGGCGCCATTTTTAACCCTCCCGTCGCAACTCGACCGGCAGGAAGAACTCTTAACAAGAATTAAAATCACTTCAGTGCAAGGATACGCTTTATTTCGGATCTCGAATTTATTGACAGGAATAAATTTGAAATTAATTTCATGAAAATCTACTTTATCTGCTTTACTTCTGATCTCGAAATTTACTGACACAACAAATTTCGAATTAATTGGCGAGATCACTTTGGCGTGAAAATCTACTTTGACAGAGTGGATTTGAATTTGTAGATTTCAACGCTTTAACGTTGTTCTTACGAACATTTTCTGCAGTCGGATAACCAATTAAACACGAAGTATATGTTATCAAATCATACATAATTTCGAAAGGAATGTTTTATAAATTTTCTTCGCGATCGAAGTCCAAAGTAAGGAGAAGAATTAGAACAAGGCCGTCGAGATGAACGGGATCGGGGACAAAAATTAGGACGGTTTGACAGGCTGCTTAGTAACATGGCCGTAAAAAGCTCGGCCACGTGAAAGGGCCGGAGGGACAGGGACATAATTACAATGAAAACATCGTCGACACCGTCGGCTTCGTGTCTTTTTGCCCTGTGGCTTTCTAGTTGTTCGTTCCTTCGCCCAAGACAGAGACGGGAAACAACAGACTGAGGGAGGATGGAACGAGACCGATTCTATTTCGAATCCTGCTGAGTGCCAGATGACTCGTGGTACGTATGCTTTCGCCTTCCAGTCTCTCCTCTCCCTCCTTTCCTTTCCTTTCCTTTCCCTTTTCGAATCTTCGCATTGTTCACTTTTATTCTAACTTTCCTTTTCTGTGGAGTTTCTGTTCCTTCGTTTTTGGAGGGTTCTTTCTCTCCTTCGGAGAGGAAGAATTATTACAGCGAGACATTGTTTCCAAGAGGTGAGATTGAATGGAAAAAGTTAAGATAAGTTGGCTTTTGGTGTTCCTGTAAATTATCCGAAATGTAAGTCGTTTGGCAATGAAAATTGTTTGAAAGAATTTTTATGTGTTTCTTTCGGAATTGAGAAAATTATTTTAGACAAAAATGAAGAAATGTACAATGCATATAGACATTTATTTTAATTGTAACTAAAAAACATAAATTAAATCTAGAAAATAAAAAAGATTAATCTGTATAACAAAATATTATATCATCTCTAAAAAAAAAAAAAAAGATCATTTATAATTCGAAAGTTTAAGAACTTGCTGAAACACTAAAGTATTTCAACCTGAAAAATATCCTCCACTTCCCAGTCCAAAAAATTAAGAACGAGTGTTTTATAAAATCCACGAATTTACTCTAAATTTAATTCCGCTCCAGAGCAGAAACAGGGGGAAGAAAGTTTTACGTTGCCTTCGCCATTTTATCCCTTCCGTTTCACCGTAAACGTCCTCCAATTAAGCTATTATTAATTTCTCTTTCAGAGTTCTTCTCGCCGTGTGTATTCCACTCGCTTTCCACGCTTTCCAGGCCTGACAGTCGGCGAGGAACAAGGGACACGAAGGGAAGACCGACAGATAAAACTCGAGTCGTTAACTCGTCACGCCGGAAACCGACGCATCTATCTTTATCTACGGCCCCCGTCTGCCAGCGAAGCTCGGCTCTTCTTGAAATTCCTTCGGCCTTCCTTTCCCGTTTCCCCTTTCCTCTTCCTTGCGAGAGATTTTGTGGAAAAATTTTCAAGTTTCAATAGGAGTTGTATCAAAGTTACATTAGTTCCTTGAAGTATTCTAGCAAATGTTACTGGTACAGCGGATCTCGTTTTGGAAACAGATTTCTTAAAATGTTCAATAAATATTTCGATATCTTAGTAAGTAAATTACAAGCTCTTTGCAGACCTTCCATTTAAAAGCTTACCAATTCTTTTCAAGAAAACTTAAATCGACCAAGCATTTGCAATTTAATCCTCAAACAATTGACACTGTGAAATTATTAAAATTTGCAGCTTGACTTTATCTCGTATTTTACGCTTTTCGTGCCGGAGATTAATGGTAATTTAATCTCAAATTGTTATTGATTTAATTTCCGTTTAAAAAAAAAAACGGATTACCAGCAGGTTCAACGTACGTTTTAATTTATTTTCGCGTTATAATCTGGTATTTATCGCGACCTTCGTTACGTCTTAGTCGATTTATATACACGAACGGTGGGAGAAGAAGGGAAGCCGAGTGAAGTATTAAGGGTCGCAAGCTCATTAACGCGACTCTTGGTAATGAGGCGAGCTAAGCACTGCTCAGGGAACATCTGCCGGGTTTCCCTTTTTCTGACGTAAAATCGGGAGCCGGTCGTAAAGGAAACGAGATTCGACAGAACGTTCACG